GACTTCTATCCTGACTTCTAATGCCATAGATTATCTTGGCTGCTTTTTATATAAAAGACTGATTCATGATGTATTTTTATGTCTGGCTTCTTTCTCTCAACATTGTGAGATTCAAGTTGTTGCATCTATCAGTTATTTATTTTCATTTCTGTGTAGTATTTAGTTTCCTGAATGTACTACACTTTATTCGTTCCACCATTGGTAAACATTTGGATTGTTGGAATTTGGGGGCCATTACTTATAATGCTGCAATGAACATTCTTGTACATACCTGTATGTATATTTCTGTTGGGGGTGGAATGGTTGGATCAAAGGCTGTGCTTATGTTTAGCTGTACTAGATTCTGTTAAACAGAATTCCACAGTAGTGGTATCAACATAAATTTCTACCAGCAGTATATGAAAGTTCCAAGTGCTCCACATGCTCACCTACACTTAGTATTGTTACTCTTCCATTTCAGTCATTCTGGTGGGTATGTAGTGATATCTCATCCTGGTTTTAATTTGCATTTCCCTGATGATTAATTAAATTATACGTGCTATTCTCATTTTCCATTGTTTTGTGACAAATCATCCCCAAACTTGGAAGCTTAAACAACTGACATTCCTTATACTATCTCTCAGTTTCAGAGATCAGGATTTCAGGAGGTTGGGTGGGCAGAACTGGTTAGGGTCTGTCATGTAGATGAGATGCAGTCAGATGGGGCCTGGAGGAGCTAGGGGCTGGCCAAGCATCTCTCTTTTCATGTAGCTCAGGGTTTATCTGTGTGTCTCTTTGCTAGGACTTCCTCACAGCACAGTGGCCTTAGAACAGTCAGACTGTCTACACAGTAGCTAAAAGCTTAACGACAGTATTCAAACTAATAAAGCAGAAGCTACACTGTTATGAGCTAGCCTCGTTAGTCATATAGCATCAAGTCTACCATATTCTATTGACCTAAATAGTCACAAAAGTCCACTCAGTTTCAAGGGAAGGGGGCATAAGTTCTACCTATAATTGGAAGGACTGTCAAAATCACACTGTAAGGAGAACATGTGGAATAGAAGATAATGTTGCCATCATCCTTTCAAAATACAATCTTCTACAAGTTTACATACATCTGTTGGCCTTTCTGTGTAGGGCTTGAGCCCAACATTTGTCTATTATTCTATGTATTTTACCATAATAAAAAATTAAAAAGTTATACAAATGGAATCATATAGTATGTCCACATTTTGGATAGACATTTTTTTACTCAGCGTAATTCCCTGGAGATTAATGTGTCCTTTGATAAAGTCTTAATTTTAATGTTTTATTAATCTTTTATAGTTATTTTCATGTTAGTATAAAAATCTTCGCTTATCCTAAGGTCATGAAGATATTGTTATTTTCTACATTTTATTACTTTTCACATTTAGATCTGCAGTCCATTTGGGATTGATTTTGTGTACAATGTGAGGTTCAGGATCAAGAACCATTTTTGCCCCGCACAGATAGCCAGTATCTTTTACTGAAAAGACTGTCCTTTCCACATAGCTCTGCATTGCCACTTTTGTCATAAAACAAGTGTGGGTCTATTTTTGGACTCTCTATTCTATTCCATTGGTCTACTGTGTGCCCATGTCAATCACAGTCTTAACAACTGAACTTTGAATTGTCTTGATATGTGATACTTTAAATCCTCCAACTTTGCTAATTTTCAAGTTTCTCTTGCTTATTCTTGTGCTTTTGGCATTTCTCTATAACATTCAGAATTAGTTTGTCAATTCAAAATCTCTTGGGGTTGTACTGACTCTATAGACCAATATGGGAAATTGGTATCTTTACAATACTTGAATCTTCAAATTCATAGATATTGGAGGCATTTTTTTTTATTTCATTTTTTTTCTCAGTCAGCAACTCTGGTCAGTTCAAAATACATCCAACATCTGAGTGCTTCTCACCACCCCTATTGGTCAAAGTGGCCATCATATTTCACCTGTATTATTGCAATACTGATGAGAAGCAACTGGTCTTCCCACTGCCTCCCTTGTCCCTCTTCATTCTATTCTTAGGGTGTTTGGAGCAATGTTCCTATTGGGTTGTCTTGCTATTATTGATTTGTAGGAGCTCTTTTTATACATGGAAATTCTTCGTTAGATATATATATATTATAAATATTTTTTCCTGACTGTGCTTGTTTCTCCATTTTCTTAAGTTCATTTTGATAGACACGACTTATTTTGATGGTTCAATTTATCAATTTTTTTATTTATGTTTTTTGTTTGTTTTTATCCTAGGAAACTTGCCTATGCCAAGGTCATAAAAACATTCCCCTTATTCTGTATGCTTTATGGATTGAGTTTTTATATTAGGTCTATGATCCATCTCAAACTAGTTTTTGTATATAGAGTGAGATGGAGGTTGTGATTTTGTCCCCCATACAAACCCAGTTGTTCCAGCACCATTTTTGGAAATGATTTTCTTTCTCCCTTGTATTGTCGCAGTGCCTAGAATGATCTTTTCAGGTGTGTCAGACCACATCACTCTTCTTTCAAACCCTTCAGTGGTTTCCATGCCCAAGGCCAAAATAAGGACTGTCAAAATCACACTGTAAGGAGAACATGTGGAATAGAAGATAATGTTGCCATCATCCTTTCAAAATACAATCTTCTACAAGTTTACATACATCTGTTGGCCTTTCTGTGTAGGGCTTGAGCCCAACATTTGTCTATTATTCTATGTATTTTACCATAATAAAAAATTAAAAAGTTATACAAATGGAATCATATAGTATGTCCACATTTTGGATAGACATTTTTTTACTCAGCGTAATTCCCTGGAGATTAATGTGTCCTTTGATAAAGTCTTAATTTTAATGTTTTATTAATCTTTTATAGTTATTTTCATGTTAGTATAAAAATCTTCGCTTATCCTAAGGTCATGAAGATATTGTTATTTTCTACATTTTATTACTTTTCACATTTAGATCTGCAGTCCATTTGGGATTGATTTTGTGTACAATGTGAGGTTCAGGATCAAGAACCATTTTTGCCCCGCACAGATAGCCAGTATCTTTTACTGAAAAGACTGTCCTTTCCACATAGCTCTGCATTGCCACTTTTGTCATAAAACAAGTGTGGGTCTATTTTTGGACTCTCTATTCTATTCCATTGGTCTACTGTGTGCCCATGTCAATCACAGTCTTAACAACTGAACTTTGAATTGTCTTGATATGTGATACTTTAAATCCTCCAACTTTGCTAATTTTCAAGTTTCTCTTGCTTATTCTTGTGCTTTTGGCATTTCTCTATAACATTCAGAATTAGTTTGTCAATTCAAAATCTCTTGGGGTTGTACTGACTCTATAGACCAATATGGGAAATTGGTATCTTTACAATACTTGAATCTTCAAATTCATAGATATTGGAGGCATTTTTTTTTATTTCATTTTTTTTCTCAGTCAGCAACTCTGGTCAGTTCAAAATACATCCAACATCTGAGTGCTTCTCACCACCCCTATTGGTCAAAGTGGCCATCATATTTCACCTGTATTATTGCAATACTGATGAGAAGCAACTGGTCTTCCCACTGCCTCCCTTGTCCCTCTTCATTCTATTCTTAGGGTGTTTGGAGCAATGTTCCTATTGGGTTGTCTTGCTATTATTGATTTGTAGGAGCTCTTTTTATACATGGAAATTCTTCGTTAGATATATATATATTATAAATATTTTTTCCTGACTGTGCTTGTTTCTCCATTTTCTTAAGTTCATTTTGATAGACACGACTTATTTTGATGGTTCAATTTATCAATTTTTTTATTTATGTTTTTTGTTTGTTTTTATCCTAGGAAACTTGCCTATGCCAAGGTCATAAAAACATTCCCCTTATTCTGTATGCTTTATGGATTGAGTTTTTATATTAGGTCTATGATCCATCTCAAACTAGTTTTTGTATATAGAGTGAGATGGAGGTTGTGATTTTGTCCCCCATACAAACCCAGTTGTTCCAGCACCATTTTTGGAAATGATTTTCTTTCTCCCTTGTATTGTCGCAGTGCCTAGAATGATCTTTTCAGGTGTGTCAGACCACATCACTCTTCTTTCAAACCCTTCAGTGGTTTCCATGCCAAAGGCCAAAATAGGCCCCATTAAGGTTCCACATGACCTGAAAACAAGCCTCATTAAGGTTGTCCATCCTGACCTTATCTACTGCCACTTTCCCCGCTGCTCACTCACTCACTCATTTCTAAACATATTGACCTCCTTGCTGTTCTTTGATCATGCCCAACACACTCCCACCTTGGGGTCCTTGGTTGGGAAGCTCTTTCCTCTGCATTGCTCTTTCCTTTACTTGCTTTAACACTACCTTCTCATTTCGGTCTTCCTTCAACACCCTAAAATTTAAAGTTCACCCTCCTGTACTTCCTATTCCTTTCAGTTTTATTTGCTTTCTTAGTGCACACCATTATCTAACATACTGTAGACGTATTTAATATCTCTTATTTTGTTTCCCTTACCTGAGTGTAAGCTCTAAAAGCTGTGGGTTTGTTCTGTTCACTGTGGTCTCTCCAGCATCTAGGACAATGCCTGGCACACAGCATTTGTAAAATGAATAAGAATACTGAAACCCCAAAAGATGAAGTTACTTATCTAAGTAATAAACAGGTAATAAACAACAGAGCTGAAATTTAAACCCAAGTTGTCTGACTCCAGAGTTCATGCTCTTAAGCCTGAGTTGTGGGCTCCATTACTAAGTGGGGCTCAGGACAAGCACAGAGGTGTAGCGAACCTGGCAGCTCCCTCCATCTTCTGCCTGCAATGGAGTCAGGTCTCCTAGGGCTCAGGTCTGGCCTCAGCAGCTTGGGCCACCCTGCCCCAGGATGCTATTGGGGGCAAGGCCAGTGTGCTGATGCCCCCCAGTGGCTAGGGTGGGGAAGGACAGGAAAAGTGTAACCTTCAGGATGAAGGGGTATGTGGGAGGGCCACCTGGTTGGTTCTTGGTTCCAGTCTCTCCCCTCACAGAAGACACAATACAGGGCATAGGCATAACAGATCTTTATTTTACCAGAAGGGACAGGCAGTGGGGCAGTGCAGCATCCAAGCCCCAGACCAAACATGCAGCATCCACATGCAGGAACAGCCACACAGGCTGGGCCAGGGCCAGGGCCAGGGGTGTGGGACTGGGACCATAGGATACCCAAAGCACCCCTGCCAGGTTGCCTGTGCTCTTCTGCCTCCAGTAGAGCAAGGAGACAGAGGACTGGGCTGCTTCCCCATGGCTGGAATTCTGTCACTCCCGCCAGGAAGAAAGTCTACAGCACTCAATTCTGTATGGGGCTGGCACAGCCTTGCCCGCTGGAAGGGCCCAGCCCAATACCCAGGACAGTGTGGCCCTAGCAGGAAGAAGGTCTACGGACTTTCTAGTCCCCAACAGGGCTGGACTTTGATCCCAGAAAGGCTTAGCAGAACTAGGACCAAGCCTCACTCCACCTAGCAGGGACATGTCCATGAAGGGGACTTCCCTGAGCACAAGCGAGGGCCTCCTAAGGCAGTAGTAAACGGAAGGAGCTGCTATAAACAGGAGGCCTTGCTTCTGTGCCCCTGGGGTTGGGGGTAGGGGAGGGGTAAGGTATGACAGTAGGCCTGGGGCTGGGGAGGGGTGAAGTGAAGGCAATGGTTCTGGGCCTGTAGGCCACAGCTACCTAGGCCTAGAGGGGCTAGAGTGGGTGAGGCTGAGGGCTTCCCAGGGTATGGTTTGGGGTTGAGAAGTCCAGGCCAGGAGAGGAGAGAGGACTGTCCTACCCAGACCCCTTGCACTCATGCTGAGCTCTTGCCAGGGCCACAGGGAGGAGGACAGATACACAGAGAACTTCAAGGCACCAAGATTCTGAGGGGCAGTAGGACCACCCCCCACAGACAGACAGTGATTATAATAAACATCTTCAGCTTAAATTACATGATGAGTGTAGAGGGTGGGTAGGAGGAAAGAGAGAAAAAGAGATAAAAGAGAGACATACGTACATGAATATGAGGGTGGAAGAGACACACCAGATGGATGTGGCAGTGAAAGTGAGGGTGTGGGGTAGAGAAGAAGAAAAGGAGACAGAGACAGAAGGGAAAACAGCCAGAGAAAAGAAGGCCTGAACACACAGCACTTCTGGTTCCTATAAAATAAGGCACCAGAGTCAGTAACGTTCCCGTTGTCCTTGTGGTATTAAAACAGGTGCTGAAGGGAGGGGCGGGCGGCTGCTGAAAGGTGTGGGCCTTCAGGAGCCTCACACCTGTGCACCGGTGGCCTTCTTGATCAGGGGTATCTGCAAGAATGGGAGATGCCATGAGGCCGTGGCTCCGGGGCCCACAACCACTTCGCTTGGGTCAGTCCAGCAGACTGCCCAGGTAATCCCACCGTGGCTAGCAAGGTACACACCTTAGATAGGTCCACGCCTGTAAGGGCGTGCACAGAGGCAGGCAGCTCAGCCAGCAGTCGGTTCACTTCTGATGTCACCTTGTTGTTGTCACCGCTGAGGATCACAATTTCATCAACTTTGGTCAGTGGGGCGGCAATTTTAGCAGCAATCTAGGATGTAAGGTGGGAGAAGAGCTTGGTTGGTTCAGTCCACCTACTCTGTTCAGCATTTCTCCTTCCTTTCTCCATTTCACACTAACCCCAAAGCAGCCTGGGTGGCCCCTATTTGCAAGCCATGGTCCGGGAGGCCCACTGAGTCAGGGACAAGCCTATGCCTATTGTAGGGTTCCTGCCCCATGCTGAGTACGCCCCCATTTAATCCACCTGTTGCTGTGTTCCTGAAAAGGCCCCAAAAAGTTCTGGCACATGCCTAGCTAGTCCCAGCCTTGGGTGGGAGCCTCACCTGGGGCAGGGCCTCCAGCACCAAGGCCATCTTGGCGGAGTCCCCGTATTTCTGGTAGGCCTCAGCCTTGAGCTTCATCCGCTCAGCCTCTGCCTTGCCCATCGCCTCGATGACTGATGCCTCCGCCTCACCGATTTTGCGAATCTTCTCAGCCTCTGCCTGAGCCAAGAGGACCTGCTTCACCCTAGGAAGTCCAGGCCAGGCAGAATCAGTGGGAAGTGCCAGGGGTCCCTCATGCCTTGCCTGGGGACTCACAAACCCTTAAGCCCTCTGCTCTTGCAGGTGTCGGGTGGGGGAATCTGTGAAGTGGGGTGCGCTGGCATTCTGGCTCTGGCCAGGGAGAGGCTATGGGCTCCCAGATGCAAATGGAGGAAGGTAATTAACCAGGATGCCCTCTGGGCCAAACACTATACCAGGTCTTCACATCTCCTTTATCTAAGTCAGTTTTCCTAACAACAATCTCGTGTTCTTCAAAATGAGTGCACAGGGACAGAGGAACTAGTTTCCAAACTGTGGTCAGGAGAGTGGGGAGAGGGGAGCATGCATGGCAGAGGAGCCTGACTAATGCCCCAGCCCAATACCTAGCAGCACTCACTTTTCACCCTCAGCTATCTGCTGTATCCGGTGGGCCTCGGCCTCAGCTGGGCGGCGCACCGTGGCAATAAGCTCCTTGTCTGTACGCAGGATCTCCTGTGCCTCCACTGCAATCTGCTTTTTACGCTGCACAATCTCAATTTCAATCTCTTCCTGACGGATCTTCTGCTGCTCACGGGCCCCTTGTAGCTCATAGGCCAGCTGGGCCTCTGCTGTCTGTGGCAGAAGTGTGGTCAGTATGTCAAGGCCTGGCCACCAAGCCTTAGGCCATGAGCCCCAACCCAGGGGCCTTATAGCTTCTCACCTTGATGTTAACTTCCTCACTGAAGGCTGACTTTTGCAGCTCAAAGGCTCGCTTGGAGTCAGCGATCTTGGTGTCTGCCATGAATTTCACGTCTAGCATCTCCTTCTTGCACTCGGCTTCCTGGGAACAAGAGGGGCAGGTGCTGAGGGTTCTCTTAGCAACTATGGTACCACCACCCCTGAGCACCCTGTTTCTGGGAATGGGAAAGCCCACATACCCGAATGCCTGCATCCCGCTCGGCCTCGGCCACCCCGATGTCAGCATCTCTCTGAACTACGGCAGTCTGTGTCTTGCCCAGGGAGCTCAGATAGTCTACTTTGTCATACACATCCTGGGGAGGGAAAAGGGAGTCATCCTTGGGAACAGTCATAGGCACAAAGGTGCCCCTCCTGCCAAGCCTCCCTCCCACTCCCAGAAGGACACAGGGGGCTATAGCCTTCCCACCACACCACACCTTGATGGTGAAGCTGAGGATCTCAATGCCCATGCGCCCGACGTCTGGGGCTGCCACCTCCCGCACCAGCTTGGCAAACTGGTCCCGGTCCTGATAAATCTGTTCCACGGTCAGGGTCCCTGGGGGCAGAGGGATCATGGGCTGACTCCCCAGGGGCCCAGCCAGCTAGGAAAAGAAGGAGGCATGCAAGTAGAGGTCTGAGGGTATACAGGGGTTGTGCAGTATGATCTGGGTCTTCCTGGTTTCTTCTTAACCGTGTTTATCATCCATCTGCAGAGTCCAGGCTGGATGAAGAAAAGTATTCCAAGCAGTACTAGCTGCCTGACCAGACTGGCAGCCCCTCACCCCCACCCTTATGCCCTCCCTTTCACTCAAGTCATCTGAAGTTTTGAAAGGAAATACTTCAGGGAAAATGTTTTGGCTTTTCATCTAGAAACCTTGGTGGGCCTGATGGATCCCCCTGCCCCACCCTGCACCCCTCTCTGGCCCTGGCTTGGGGACCCTGTGACGCTCCTCGAAGACAGCAGGGAGGTCCCTGAGCTGGGGAGAGTCTCACCGAGGATGGAGCGCAGGTGCCCCTCTAGGGTCTGCAGAACAACGTTCTTGATGTCTTGCACATTCTTGCCCAGGAACTGCTCGCAGGCCACAGCCAGGAGCTCTTTCTCTGTCATAATCTTCACCTGCCAGTGGTCACAGAGGCACCTGAGCCAGGCTGGAGGGTGGCAGATGAAAGCCCCAGACCCAGGTGCGGAGGGTGGTGGCTATGCCCCTCCCCTCCTTTTTCAGACCTGGAGGCCTAGGGGCTGGGGGATGGGGTGGAGTCTGTCTGAGGCCTCTAGTGGGGATAGCACACAAGGGATTCTCACAGAGAAATTTCATCCTCACTGGCAGCCCCAGGACTCTCTCCTGGGCATATGGGGCTCGTCCCCCCAACCCCTCCAGCCCACTCATTTTTCCCTCATTAGCCAAATCCTCCCTTCCAGGCTTCCCACAAGTGGGAGACCTGTAGACTGAGGGGCAGAGAACATAAAAAGGACAATGAGCAATAGGGACAGAGAGACAGACTAGGAAAGAGGACCTGGACAGAACAGGGAACAGGTCCAGGGCTTGCCACCAAGGGTAGGCATCTTCCTGCCTTTCCTTCCCAAGGTAGTAGGCCAACAACCCCCTCACCAGAGGCCTAAAACATGGTTTAATCTGTCTACCCCATGAAGTCGAGAGGTGGACTAGGGCGGAAAGCCCCTCACCCAGGCACTGAGCTAGGAATATAATGCAACCTCTGACTCCAGAGCCCAGGGCTGCTCTGCCTCACCTGGCTTCACCCTTTGGTCCCCACCCCTCTAGCCCCCTACCCAGGCAACAGGAAAAGCTTGGATTCTGGGGCCTGGCATTTCCGACACCTGCAAAGAATGGGGTGGGATTAGTTAGACAGGAGCCCTCAGCACTGGTTCTGTCCCTCGTGAGCCCGCTGAGGAGAGAAGTGGGTATCTGTTAGTCCTGCTGGGTGGCCAAGGGCCGAGTGAGCATGTTCCAGTGGCAATGACCCTCTCTTGGAAGGGGGGTGGGGGCAGGGGTGCTGGAGAGAAACTGCCTCTGGCTGCTGTCCTCTCCTCCCCTCCCCCCAACCCCAGCATGGGACGAGGGAGCTCAACGGTCATGCGTGGGGCTGCTGAGTTACTATACCTGGGCGACACCCGTCACAGTTAAAGCTACCCCCTCGGCCGTCTCTACGTCCTCGCAGCGGGGCTGCAACGTCATAATCTCTAGGGAAATCCTGCCAAGAAATGCAAAACAGGGACATGGGTCTGGGGGCCCAGGGCCTGTGGTGTGGGAAGAGTCCAATACTTCACTGCTCCGGCTGGGATGGGCCAGGGGTCCTGTTGTGGAGGAGGGTGGGGAAGATTCCCCAAGGGGTTGTTGGGAGAATGTGAGGAGATAGGTGGGAAGGCAGGGCAGGGTGGGTACTGGTGGCTCCAGAGGAAGGAGGATGGGTATGCTACCCATGTCCTCTGTTCAAATCAGCTTGGCTTGAAGACTGGGAAAAGGAAGTAGAGAAGAAGTTGTTGCAGTGGTCTGGTTGAGGGGTTGGGGAAGAGTCCAGGTGTAGCTGTGTGTGTATCCTGGGATAGCAAGTAAGTGCTGGTACTCCAGGCTGTGCTCTTTAAGTTGTCCAAGGGTGCCAGCTAAACTTCTCTTGGGGGCCCTCATCTGATCCCTGGGTTTGCTCAGCACCCTGGGATGCTCCAGGAAGCTGCCTAGAAAAGCTCTGCCTGGTGGCCTGGCCAGCTGGGAGTATGTCCACTGCTGGGTCAAGAGGAAGTGATTCTGCATCTGCCCCTTGCCAGATAAGTGCTTCATAGTCCCTCTACTTGGCAACAGGCTAAGGTGTGAAGCCTACCCTCAGGGGTTGGGCCCCAGGGGTGGTCAAGTGGGGAATGAGGGCTGGGGCCACACCAGAGTTTCCTGTCCAAGGAGCACTAACCATAGAAAGACTTGTTCTGTCCAGACAGTCTGAGGCTTAAAGGGTCCATATCACCAAGCTTAAAAGGGACCTGGGCATTTGCAGTTATTTCAAGTAGAGTAGTGTGTTTGGAGGGGGAATAGGGCTGCTTTAGATGGGTGCCAAAGAAAGCCAGGGCTCTGCCCATTCCACGCAAGGTGCTCTGAGCTTCTCAGACTTCTGTGCGGAAGCCTGCCCTCCCACGGCTACAAGGGGCAGATGAGATGGGGAGTCCCCTTCCTGATTAGATGGCAGGATGGGTGAGGAAGGGAGTGGTGGTGTCGAGTTTTTGCCTGAGAAGGCTGAAGGGCAATTTCATGCATGGTAAGGCAGTAGGTAAGGCGACACTTAGGTCTCTTCCAGCCTGGGGACCCACCAGCATGCAGGCTCTGAGGGGGCAGGGCCTTTCTGATGTTCACTCCAGCATTCGTAGTGCTTGGAACTGAGAAGGCACTCAACAGAGAGTTGATGAATGAAGCAATGAAGATGGGAACCTACACATTAGCACCCACAGTTACTAAATGCTCTGGCTTAAGAATGGATTTCACCAGCTACTGCTACATGGTAATGAAGAGTGAGATACCAGGTCACTTGCTTTTCAAAGTAAGATCGTATTCGTAATAAAGCCTGGGTTTCTCTAGCACTTCTGTGCCAAATATCCCAAAGTGCCCTCATATCGTTTTACTTGTCTTTCCAATATCCCTACAAGGCACAGAGAAGGCATCATTCTCATTTCACAACAGGGAAACTGAAGCCTAGTGACAAGAAATCTGTTCAAAGGCCTCTCAACAAAGAATTAGGGGCAGGGAATTACCAAGGCTCTTCTTGCTCAGGCCTGTCAAAGAGGTTGAAGGGGGCCAAAGGGCTTGGTGACCAGAACTCCCCATGAGACCCATCTTCTGGCCTTGTAAGGAGGAGGGCTAGGGCTTGACACTGGGGTGTCAGCCTGGAGAAGGGGCTAGCAAGGGGCTCCATGGTACCTGGAGGACTAGGAATTCAGCAGTAGATAGGACTGAACCCTCCCCACCCAGACAGCTCAGCTCTGTCACATAAGGGCCTGTGTCTCCTGCCTCGACTTACTCCCAATTTAGGCTTGGCATCTAAGGATACCCACTGGTAGATTTTGGCAGAGCTTCCAGAGCAGCAGAAGTGGAAGCAGAGGAGAGGGAGGCATACTCTTAGGAAGGGAGTCCATTGGCTCCTTCTTGCTAGGCCCCACAGGGCAGGAAGAGAGAAGGTTAGACACAGAGGAGGAAGCAGGTGGGTTATTACCTGTGCAACCCCTGTTACGAATAGCGGGACCCCCTCCGACGTCTCAATATTCTCACAGCGACACAGGATGGTCATAACCTCCAGAGACAGTCTGAGAAGCAGCCATGGGGTAGGGAGAGGCAGGGACAGGAAGGGGTAGGAGGGGACACAGCAAATACACACAGTGGTTACCAGATAAGCACCAATGCCTGATGCCTGGGGGCAGGGTTGCTCTCCATATTTCAGCCCCCCACTACCAGCGCAGCCTAGGGCTGTAGGGGGACAAAGACCTGTCTTTGCTGGCTTGAGGCCTCTGGGTCTCTTCTCTAGTCCCCATACCCTTCCAAGGAGGAGCTGCTGGGCTGGAGGAAAAGCCTGTTGATGCCCTGGGTCTGTGATCTGAGGTCAGGAGACCTGTGTGCAGGGCACCCGGGTTGCTCATCACTTCTCTTTCCTTGGACGTTTCTGGCATGATCTGAGAGACTTAGCTTCAAGTCCACCCTCCAAACACAGGCAAACTTGTGTTTTCAGAAACTGGGAGGTGGCGGCCACTCTGGGGATTGATGAGCCACAGCAAATACCGAATCTGCTTGGGGCACACACTCTCAAGGTCTGTGCTACATGTCACTAAGAAGACAATTTAGGGCCAGAAAAGCCCAAAGAAAATTTTGGATTTTCTAATTTTGGGGTGGTGGTGTGTCAAGGAAGGCTGGGGGAGAAAGTGTGCCCCTGCCAGAATATTCACAGGGACATGACATACCCTGGGAGATGACAGAGTAATTCACTTTGGAATTTCCAATGTTGGGCACAGGCAGAGGAGAGAGTCATGGCAAAGAAAATAAGGTGCCTCAAAGCTACTTGGCTGACCCCAGCTGAGCCTCCCTAGAGCAGCGTGTGTGCATGACTGTGTGTGTGTGTAGGGCAGTGGTCCAGGCAGAGGCCAGGCTGTGAACAGCGTGGAAGGCTTCCCTGAACCAGAGAAAGGAAGGACAGAGACTGAGGCTGGAGAAGCAGGTGGGTTGGAGGAAAAGGGGACCCCCACCTCAACTCGTACATGCCAGCCCTGGGGACTCTGGCCATGCAGATGTGCAAAAGGCTGCCTTCATTCAAGCCCCTACCACTAAGCACCCATGGGCCTGAGAGGACTCTAGACCTGGTTCAGACAGGAACCCACCAACCTCTCTTCTGGGAAAGGAGGAAAGAGGGAAATAGGAGAGAGGGAGGGAAGGAAGGAGGGAAGATGGGAGGCTGCAGCTCAGATGCCAGAGGTAGAGGAATTGCTCAGGCAAGGAGAGTGGTGCCTACATCAGGCCTCATGAAAGTATAGGATGCAACAGCAAAGTGCAGCAGGAGGGATTTCACTGAGCCTGGAGAAGAATGGCTGACACTAAGGGTGGGTGAAATGTAGGATGGCTGTGGAAAGTACCTCAAAAGGGAGGTTGAGGATCCAGGCTGGGTTAGAAGCCTCTACTCTGACCTGAGAGGTTCCTGCTAGCCTAGGGAAATAAAGGCCTCAGCTTGTGGGGATGTCCCCCAAGCAGACTAGGGAAGGGGCTGCCCCCAGGACAGGGTCCAAGAAGGGGAAGGGCTGTAGACTCAGACTGCCCAGCAAGTGGGACCAGAGGGAAGATGCTGAGCCTGGGTGTGTGACATCAGTTTCCTAGAGCAAGGTACAAGGCCCTCCACTCCTCACTTCCAAATCTGTTGTCATGGGAGCTTGGCCCTGTCTTGGGGCTCTGTTTCTTGGAGCAAGAAGCAGGAGCGGGGCCCAAGAATGTGGAGCTGCAGGGTTGTTGTTTTAGCAGTGAAAGCTCATGCAGGATAGGTCTCTGGGCAAGCGGCAAACTCTCCAGGCTTGGTTGTATGTCAAGGTGTTCTGGACAAGATATTCTGTCATCCCAGGACTGCATGGCATGTGGGGTAGGGTGGCAGTGTCTCTAGAGAGGGTGCCCCATGTTTTCTGACAGACCAACTGGACTACTCAGGAGTGCCTAGGAACCTTCTGAGAGAAAGCTGTGACCAGTATTACTTTGTGACACTCCGGCCTTGGGCCAAAAGAGTTACCCAAGATCCCTCCACTCAGACAAAGGAAGGGAGAGATGGGAGAGTGGAGGGGGTTACTGGGAAATCAGTGAAGTTAAAAAGTGTAACATGTTTCCCATGCCCCTGACCCTAGCCAACACCCTCAGACTCCCTGGAGCCCCAAGCACTAACAGCTCAGTGAAGTCATGGGGCTTCTCTCTGCTGACTGGTAGGGCTGAGGCTGGGGGGGATTTCCACTGGAATCTCCATCACTTCCCCTTCAGGATGATAGCCCATGCCCCCCACATGTGCACACCTTCACAGCTCTGCTGCCCTTGTTGCCTGGGTCCTGGACTAGAAGGATCTGGGCCCCTTCCCCCATCTTCCATAATCAGGAAGGGGGTGATGGTGGAAAGGTGGCTGGCATGTCTCATCTCCTTTTGTGTAGGCAGTGAGGGTGACAGGAAAGGTCCAAGCCAAGCCTGGCTCTACCAGGAGCTCTGGGGTAGCCTGCAGATACAGCTTGGTGGTGGGCTCTCTGGGGAGCTAAAATATCCCTTCCTCTAGTCTTTCCAGATTGATTTAAGAGGTCCAGACCTTTCTTGCCTGGCCCTGCTACCAATTCCTTAGATCCCCACCCCTGGTCTCTAACCAGCTGCTGTCACAGAGCCACTTCAGACTGTAAATTCATTCTCTGTTATTTACCTCTACCTGCATTGTCTCAGAGCCTGCACAAGTGAGGATGCACGTAAGAGGTCCCTTCAGCTTTTCCTCCCTCCCAAACCCACTCCAAACAGGGTGTATAATTAAGGCTTCATGAATAACTTTGAACTAGAATCAGGGCATTAGGATTCTGCCTGGGCAGGAATCTGAATTCTCTGGGACAGAAGTGATGCCTCCAGTGGAAAAAAAACACATCCACTAAGGAGATGCCCATAGACAGACCTCTAGCATCCCTGAGCGACCCATTCTGTCTGCTTCTTAGGAGACCCCCCACCCCAAGAATGAAATGTGGCAAGTGGCAGATGCTCTAGCTGACCTGTGGAGTGAAGGGAAAAGGCTAGAAACCTTTTTCTCCCTTGCCCACCAAGATACTAGTTTCCAGAGGCCCCAGGCACTTACCTCTGAGTATCGGAGATACACCACCAGGCCCAGGCCCAGCCGCCAAACACATACTGTTTATAGTCTGAACCACAACAGCCCCCTGGAAAGCAAAGCAAAGTACTGCTGGTTAGTCAGCTCTTGTGTTTGTCTACCCGCATTTGTCCAACAACCCTGGGCCTTTATCTGCTCAGATACTTGACAACTCCCTCTATGGGTTGCCAGGTGCTGAGTTACATGCTCAGAAATGTGAGACATGCCCTTCAGGGCCTGGGAATCTAGTTTGGTAGACAAACAATTTGCATAAAAAGGAAGAAATCCAGTGAGTAGCTCAGAATGTAAGTGCTTTCAGGGAGCAGAAGAAGTCAGTGGGCAGGAGTGAGTAGAAAAAACTTCCATCTTTCATTCAACTATACAGATATTCATTCAACAAACAAGCAGAATATTTTCTGTACCAGGGACACAGAAATGAAGATACAAGTCCTATCTTGAAAGAGGAGAGTCAAGGTGGGAGCCTTGCTCATGCCTGGTAGATACATCTTAGTGAAGCTGGTTCTCTATTCTCAGGGGTTCAGAGTGACTTTTTTCCTCTTGTGGGAGCAGATGCAGAAGGCAAGGCCTCAAAACAAAGGCCAACTCATGGTACCGATGGGAGAAGTGAAAAGGGAAAAGGTTTAAAAAGGGAGTGATTCCTGGAAACTATCCACTAAACAGAATGTTGAATCTGGCCTGGCCCCAGATTCATGCTGTGGACATGTTCAGTATGCTCTCTGTACAGAAAGGAGAAAAATCAAGTCTTGAAATTCTTATTGCAAACTCTCTTGTCAATGCCAAAATTACTCATCAAGTTCAGGAAAACTTTCATAAAAGCTAGAGTGGCAGTTCACTTGTAGTGCAGATATGTACAGGAAACATGATTCAAAGGAAGTGTGATTTGTATAGTAAAAAAAAAAAAAGGAAATGTGATTTGGAAAAAAGCCAGTGGGTCTCATCATTTCTGCATTCACAAACTTGGATTTTCAAAAAAGCCTTAGATTATTGCCTCCCAAGGGGTAAGGGGTAGTGGGGAGAGATCACAGAGTAGTAGCTGAGGTACCGTGTCCATGAGGGTCCATGGCAGGGAACAAGGTGGGGGTGGAGGGGTACTGGGGAGAGATCATAGAGTGTCTCAAGTATCAAGCCAAACACCTGTGTGTGTGTGTGTGTGTGTGTGTGTGTGTGTGTGTGTGTGAGAGAGAGAGAGAGAGAGAGAGAGAGAGAGAGAGAGAGATATGGTGGAGCCACACAGGGATTTAAACTGGGGAGAGAAAAAAATTATATTTCCTTTTTAGAAACACCACTTTTCACAAGGAAGAAGATATTGGGGTCAGAGATTAGGTAGAAGCCTCTTGCAGTGATACAGGCAAGACATGGTGGCTAACGTTGGGGAATAACTTCCAGAGAACTTTCTGTGCAAGTGGAAATGTTCTACAGTTGTGCTGTGCAGTATAGCAGCCAACTAGCCACAGGTGGCCACTGAGCACTTGAAATGTGGCTGGTATGACTGAAGAAATGAAATTTGAATTTAATGAATTTAAAGTGAAGTGGCCACCTGTGGCTAGTGCTACCATATTGGTGCAGCGCTAGAGTCTGGGTTTGGGTGGGTGGTAAAGTCAGCAACGGAAACAGAGATAATGGAGAGAATCACGAATTGGAGACAAGTTCTGGATGGGTGGAGGCAAAGGAACAAAGACCCTACAAGTGCAGAGGGCCTGTCAGGTTCGAGAACTGGCATCTGAGATTGCTCACTGGGTGGCCTACTCAGCGTCCTGGGGCTGCCGCTGTGTACAGTGTGCAAATAGCTGGGCCAGACAGAGGTCCAGGGAGCAAAGAGCGGCCTACATGTGAGTAGAAGTGAGAAGAGGAGGTCTTAAATCTCTTTTTCTCTGTGGTGGAAATACCTGTCCATAGGGCTGCTTTTCAATGGAAGCTGTTGCAGGCTTTTCTGCTCTGGGGAGTGGGGTGCAGGAGGCCTCTAAGGACAAGCAGTCAATCTGAAACCTAAACCATCTCGGGATCCAGTGAAACTGGAAGATGGTCAAAAATCACAGCTTGTTCAGGGGGTGGGGGAAAAAATCACAGCTTGTTCCACTTCTTCTGGCCTGGTGTGGGCTGCGGCATGGCTGCCTCCAGCCAGCTCCAGGGCACTTTTCAATGTGCTAGGGGAGGAGGTGGTAGCGGTGGGGTGGGATAG